ATACCTTCTTCAGAAAGTATACATAAATAAATAATAAATTCTCCCATGCCATTCTTAATTTAATTTATTATTCTGAAATATTTTATATTCATTAGACTCCCCTTTTCTGGTTTGCATTCAATCGGATATGTTTTAAACCACTGTTTTATGGGTAATTGTCTGCATTACTTTGGGTGTAGATGTAAACGCTTTGGGGAGGGAAAAAGTTGGAGGATCTTAGTGTTTTCAGGAATTAAATCCACTTACATTTTTATACCAGATAGATTTGCTATTATTTCTGGTATTTCTGTATACTTACTATTTTCAGTTTTCATATATAACCCACTATTTTCAGTTTTCATAGCTGTTTGTATTGTTTTCTGCTTTGAGGTATAGATTAAGTAAGATGGGCTTCCACCTCCACAATTTTTTCAGTGCTATCTTTTTTACTGTCTTTGCTAAAACCTAACTACCCTTCTTTTCGGGTCTTCTGACACCCTATTTTTCCCCCCCCTGTTTGCAATGCTTTGTACATGATTTGCCCCATTTACCTACTTATCACCTTTCAGATCTCAGCTCAAAATACTTCCCCCACTGAGTTGGATACATTGAATATACGGTCACAGCATACCATATACTTTTCTTCATAGAAATTAGCACAGTTGTAATTTTCATTAACTAGTGAAATTACATGTTTAATGTATTGCTCTCAAATTAGATTTTAAACTCCATAAAAAATGAGATCTGTGTCTTTTTTTCCTCACCTTCCAAGTGCTTAAAACAGTTCATATTGCAGAGTGAGCACTCAGTAAATAAAGAAATCATCTTCCCCGTGAAGACAAGCCTAATTAGTTCAGTGAACTTGGGCCAGCAGAACGATAGTTGGAGTTGCATGTAAATGTAACCTACCTGCATTCTAAAAACAAATGCCATTAAGTAAAGATTACAGAAATCTTGCAGATTTGTTTCCTAACCACTGCAATAAAGAGGGGTCTCAAAAAAGCAAGTCATAATCTTTGTGATGGTGGAGGGTCTTGTCTACAATTTCTAAACATGCAACATCTGTGAAGCGCAATCAAGCAAAGGACAGTAAAGTGACGTATGCCTGTACCTACACTGGCACTCTCAATTTGATAAATCTGTAAGTAATACTCCTCATTGAGAAATGAAGATTGTTAATAGATTTTGTAAAATACTGAACTGTGAAGATAGCAAAGGGTATGTTTAAAATTTGAAGACAAAAGAAGATAAAATGATGTACAAGTAAAAAAACCTAGGAAGCAAATGTAAGTAAGGAGATTAAATAAACCAAATTCAAGAAAATTTTAGACATGTCACCACCATTTCACCCACTAGGATTTTTTTTTTTTTTTTGCAGTTTGTGATAGTTTGTTTTTTTTAATTAATTAAAGTATTACAAATAGTAGTACATATGTCTCCTTTTTTTCCCCATTGAACTTCCCCCAACCTCCCCAACCCTCCCACCTCCCCCCACAGTGTCTTGCATCCATTGGTTATGCTTATATATCACCCACCAGAATTTACTTTATAAATTATTACTAGAGATATCCTGCTAAAGAACAGACCTGCTAATGTTACATTTTTGCAAAACCTATTTTAAGGGCTCTCCATAGACCGCAACAGATAAAGCACTCCTTACTGTTGAGCATATTCATAAAATAACCGTAATTTTTACCACTTATTTTTTAAATCCTCACCAAAAGATGTTTTACCATTGATTTATAGGAAGAGTGGAAGAGAGAGGGAAAGACAGAGAAATACCAACGTGGCATCAATTTGCCTCCTGCATGCAGGACCAGGGCCCTGGATGGGGAGGAGTCTGTAACTGAGGCACGTGTCTTTGACCAGAATCAAACCGGGACCCTTTCCTCAGCTCTATCTACTGAGCCAAACTGGCTAGGGCTGTCTCATTTGTTTTTTATGGATTTTAGTGTTAGATATGTTGGGGACAATTTGACTTTCCTATTTTAGGTCAAGCAATTCACAGCTTTAAGCAATAAGCGCGGATTTGAAAAGAATTTGACCGAATCCAGGCATACCTCAGTGCGATACATGCCACTGGAACGGGCGATTTAATTCCTAGTGGGATTATTTTCATGTGCAATGTCTTAATTTTCAGGGGTTCGAATCATGCGGGACAAACTTAGTTTTCTTCATTGTGTTACAGGATACACAAGTACCACAAAGAGACTATAGAGAGTAAATCAATGTAAGTGTGCAGAATAACATCACTTGTGCTTCGTTTCGGATCCTAGTTCGGGAATAAACCTAATGACCTGTTTTGTTTTGTGTTTTGTTTTGTTTTTTTAAAATTCTTAAAGAAGATGCTTTTGAGGTTGTTTTGTTGGGGGTTCTGATTCAAGACGGTGACACAGGAAAATCCTAGGTTCACGTCCTCCCGAGAACACACGGAATCCGCAGCTACATACATGTGGTTCAACTTCCTTAGAAAATAACACCTAAAACCTGGACAACTCAGGCCCACCTCATCCATGTGGGAAGGAGAGACTGGAACACAGCCTCCCCAGAACTCCGTACCACCACCCCAACCCCCACCCCTCAAACACACACACACACACCCCAAGCAGCAGCCGCCTCAGGACCCTAAGCTTTTTCCTGGGGCGTCTTCCCTGAAGCCCACCTTGCACCCGAGAGATGAGCCTCCAAACACCACCAAGCTTTGGGAAAACAACGTCGGCGGCCGGAGGATACAGAACCGAGGACGCTCCGCACGGACTCACCTGTCCCCGCGCAGAGGACGCGGATCCACAGGCCCCCGGGCTTCATGGGGAGGAGGCGCCGGAGACCATGAGCCAATCTGAACGCCTAGGCCCGAGGGGCGGACCGCAAGCTCAGTCCCAACTGGGGGGCTGCTGGCTGGTGAGCCCCATCTTCGGCTCTCCCTCTGCCTCCCTCGTGCTCACAGGCACCTTGTTTTCTGTTTTATTTTGTTTTGTGTTTTTTTTTTTGTTTGTTTTTTACCACAGCCTTGTGTTGTCCTGCTTCCTGCGGGAGCCAGTTACTGGCCCTTCGCCAGGGGCCTCCCCGCCGCGGGCGCCATCTTGGTGCTCTGGCCGCGGGCACCCGCTTTGGCAAAGGCGAGGCTTTCCTTCCTCCTCCTGGCTTTTCCCTGGCGGGCGCTCCCTACACACTCACCCTCTGCGGAGGTCCGGAGCGCCAGTGTGTGTCCGGGAGGGGGACACCTGCCTGTGCTCCGTGGTGCTTTTTGGTGGGTTTGCTGCTGCTCTGATGATGGCGTTGAGGGGAGGCCCCGGGGACACCTGCTCCGGGGGCCGGAGGCTGCGTCCTGGTCTCGCGAGACTGTGACCTCGCGCGAGCCCCGGGCCCACGGCCCTGTGCAGACCGACCTCGGCTGGCAGCGCTCCCCTAGTCTTGCTCCAAAAAGGCCCATCTTGCTGTCCTAGAGCTAGAGGCTGTGGTGAGCTCTCAGGAAGAAGACCGGGAAGGCAATGGCTGAGCTAAGCCCTCGTTCCACTTCGCCTATCTGTGCCAGGCAGGGGCTCAGACCTTGTCTGGTGCCCCCATGTTGCAGCTGCTGCCCGGGCACCCCTCTCTCTACACTGCCTGTCCCTGGTGGCCAGTGGGCTTAGGCTTCCTGGGTCTACCTCCAAGTACTACCTCCAAGGCAGAGAGTTCTGGAAAGGCTACCATTCCAACCCCACCAGAGCCCAGGCAAGAGGCAAGGGACCCCGGGAAAGCCAGGCCTATATTAGCTTATCATTCTAGTTGCCCCTAAGGGGCAGGCTTCCCATGAAATACACATCTTAGGACTGACTCGCATCCTTTCCAGACACTTTGACTCTCCTCAGGCCACTTCCAAAATGTGAATATTGTCTGGTATGAAGCTAACATACTATTGCCTGTCAATTGTAATTGAAAACGAAAAAAAACCAACATTTAAAAATAATAATTTATGTATATTTGAAAGTAGCTAGAAGAATGGCTCTTGAAAGTACCCGTCACAAGAAAAATAAATTGTAACTGTATGTGGTGATGGGTGTTAAACTGGACTATACTGAATCATTGCATTGTACATTTAAGCTGGGAAAAAAATGTTAATTATGCTTCAATTTATTATTTTTTTTAATTTGTTTGAGCTGCACACTACTTACTGAGGATAGCAATGATCAAACACTCTCCAGTTGGTGAACCTTAAGTAAGGATAAGCACTTTAGAGGTTTTCAATAGGCCCTTCTTTTAATTTTTGCTCCAGTAAGAATGCCTAGTCATTTTTATATAAACTGATGGAAGTTCTCTGCAGACCTCTGCTGAAGACTTGCAAAGTCTGATGGCCTAAAAATATACCTAATTTCATCTTCTAAAACAAATTTCCATCAAGAGAATGGAGAGAAAATCCTTACCCAATACCTAAACTCTCTGTTTTACAGCATATAGTAAAAATAATATAACTAATATAAATACAATATTAAAATAATCCTTGACCAGAAAGTCAAGGTGACAATATACCAATTCTTTTTCAGAGTTTAGGAAATAGAAAGCCCAATTTTATACCAAAATAATATTTGATATTTCATTCTTCCATTAGTTCTAAATTAATATGGAAAAAAAATTGCCAATGAACCATAGGAAATTTATCTTCCAGGTAATGAAAGCCAAATAAAATAAGCAACTACAAATAATACAAACAACACATTTATTTAGAAAAATAAACTGAAAATGCTGTTTGTCTGGTACATTATCCCATGAAGCATAGATAAATGGCTATAAAAAACTGCTGTTATATGTCAAATACAAATTACAAATGATTTTTTAAATTCAGAGAACAAATAGATGTTCAACACAAATGTTTATAGTGTACAGTTCACTGTATTTGACTTCTTGGCTGTTAATGATATAAAATGATCTTCATTAAAAAATTTTTGATCCCTTTCTCATTCATTTGACCACACTAATGCTTTTTTGTTATTATTCTATAGTTATTATTTTAATCTGAGACAAAGCTTTTTATTTTTTTAGACAACTGATTTTTATAGAAGAGAAATTAATGTCTGCAGAATTCTTAAGTGTTTTCTTTTTGGACTCCTGCAAGAAACTACTTGTGGTCTCAAAACTCATGGGACCATCTGTGCAAATAACAGCACACATCATTACCCTGAATGGAAGTGACAGTGCAAATATTAGAAGTGCATTGAGAAATAATCAGTAAGACTGACTTCCCCCCTCTCTCAAACAATATGGAGTGAAGGACTGAATGCAGAAACATTTCAAGCAATTGACAATAATGATGTTACTCCATTATGGCTTTAAGGGTATACACAAGATGGCAAACATCCTCTCTGCAAACAGCAACATTCTGTCCTAATACTACTGTTCATTGCCGCGATGCTCCTCTGTTTGTTCAGTTTATTTTTGTCTACATATTTATTTTGAAATGCTGAGTAATTCTGGCTAGAGATATTTCCTGTCTCTATTTTATCTCCCCAAATGATAAATCAATTGATAATAATTTACTAGCTTAACTGCCGAATATACATTTTCATATCTGGGAATATTTATTTTCATGGTGAAGGAAGATGGGTTTTGTTTGGTTTCTGTTTTCTGTTAGCTTAATTGTTTAGTCCTTCTTATATATATATTTTTAAATCTTCTTGGTAATTTCTGAGTGAAGATATTTAAGGCTGTGGCTTTTTTCACCCCTAGGGCTCTGCTCATGGCTGTCAGACTAGAGGCAGATGATTTTATGCAGACCAAATCAGTGATCACTTGTGCTCCGAAGTTGAGGGAATTTGTTGCTCTGAGATGGACAAGTTCTTGGTTATTTCAAAATTACATCTGGCCTCAAGAAGTCATAATGATGAATCTGAAGTGAGAAGAAATGAGCTGACATGCCTCCAAATAAAGATTTCCTTCCAATTTGAAGGAGCTGTCAGAAGAAATAAAACAAAAGACAAAAGATCAGTTTAAAAAGTAAGTACAGTTTAACAAAAACACATAAAACGTATTAAGAATGAGGCAATTATTTGTTAATGCCTAATTTAAAATTACTTGAATTCTCAAGAATTTTATTTTAAATGTCTAAACATATTGAAACGTATACTGTATTCACCTTAAATTTCATATATAGAAATGAAATTATAAAATATTTATATTTTAATTAAAAGATCTATCTTTTTCATTAATCTCTTCCCATCTGCCTTATCCCACTGAGCTATGTCAGTTTGTTCTATGCACCCATGCCTCTGTTTTGTTCATCAGTTTATGTTCATTAAATTCTACATGTAAGTGAGATCATGTGATATTTGTCTTTTTCTGACTGGCTTATTTCACTCAGCATAAAATTCTCCAGGTTTATCCATGTTGATTCAAAGGGTAAGAAATACTTCTTTAACCAATGGACATAGACAACAGTGTGGTGAAGACTTTGGATGGGGCAGGGGCTGGGAGGAGGAAGCTAAGGGAGAGAGAGGGAATTGGAGGACATCTGTAATACTGTCAATAATAAAATTAATAATTCAATAAGAATTAATGTTCAAAATCTATCTCTTACAGTTTTTAAAACTTCAGATAAATTTGTCCACCCATAAATGTACTGAGTTCTCAAAGACTGAAGGCTTCTATGAGATACCTATGGATTAGTGGAACAGGAAATTATTTATAAATAATTTTAGCTCTTATTTTAAATAGATGTAAAATGTACAAAACTCTCTTTTTAAAAATAACATAGAGCCTGAAATTTTAAGAATATCTTGAGATATTTATATCTTGATATATCCTTTGATATACATATACATCACTATTAAAATAGTAAATCATTTTTACTGTAGAGACTTCATTTAAAACATAAAAAAGCATTTAAAAACCACCTTGCATAATGTTATCTTTCATTACATTCTATAGAGTCTAAATGTATTATCAAACTGCCCAAAGGATATTCTTTTCCTTGATAAAGCAGAGCTGCCAAAGAACTAGTCTGCCTTCATGAATACCTGCAATAAGTAGCACCTTAAAATAAATTCTATCCATATTCCCATCCATATCCTAATTAATATTTTTTGGAAAATAATAAGAAAAAACCTAACCATAATTCTCACCCTGCCCACCCAACATCAAATATGCTTAGCACCACTTAATGTGCAGTGTGTCTATGGTCTTCTCTTAAGTTATGATGTCAAAGATAATATTTATAAAATGACTAAAGTAGGTCCAGAAAGTTATTAAAATGAACCTTGTACCATAATTCATTGATTAGTAAATTATTAGAAAAGTCAGAGACACAGAGTAGTGGCAGTAAGTGCATTTTCAATCCCTTGAAGTCCATCTGAGAACCCCTGCTTTAACACTTTCATTTGGGGGTATGTAAATTCCAAATGCATGGTGTGCTTTCGTCAATAAAGAGACTCAAACATACACATAGATGACACAATAAAAACAAACTGTGCAGCTACTAGGCAAATTGTAGATTACCAGATCATCACTAGCATATGTCAAGTTGCACATTCAGTCTTTTATGAAATTTATAAAGAATTGTTCTCTCTTTGTGGTTTTAATAAGAGTTCAAGAATTGTTCAGAGTCTTGAAAATGTCATTTTAATAATCTCTTTAAATTTTATCTGTTGCTGTTACCTCTTGAAATATGATTCAGTTAGATTGCTAATCCCACACATTCAGGAAATGCCAAGAGGTATTCTACAGGGGAAGTGTTGCCTCTTACAGTGTAAATTTTCTCCTTAACTTTGCTAATACCATGGCAAAATTTTTCTTATTCCTTTTGAGGCAATTGTTAAATGAGTCTTTCATCCTAACAATCCTGTCCTATAGTATTTAATGTAAAAAAACAACAACTATTAACAGATTCTTGCTTGATTAAAAAAACATTTTATACATTTTACATCTATGGAAGATAAGAGCTAAAATTATTTATAAATAATTTCCTGTCCCACTAATATTTTTAGGTATCTCATAGAAGCACATATTTCCCTCACAGTCTTCAGCAACCAAACATTAAAAGCAAAGAATAAAATCTTCTAACCAGGAGATGTCTATATTGGCAGTTTGAATGCCAACATTGGATATTAATGGAATACATTTAAGTCTTACTTAGTTTCGAAGCTTTTTTACAGATATCTGGGCCTCTTCCTACATGGTATCAGATATCACATTCACCCTAATCTCAGGCCAAATACTTTTTTCTCACTAGAGAAAAGCCTCAAATAATTTTTCACGTATAATTTGCTGACTTAAAAATTCATGAACTTCCAATATTATGTATTTTTAGTATTTTTGCCTCAAATATGGAGAAATGTAATACACAGTCATCCATATAAAAGTTAAATAAATGTACTCAGCATTGCCATAATGAAACATAAATCACCAAGATCCTGTGTTCACAACAATGAATTGAAGTGCTCCCCAGAATGCTCTCTGACTCATTCTTCAGATCAGTAGTTAATTGCTTCATTCTATTGCAAAGGCCTTTGTTTAAAACTAATTAAAGTTTTCTTCACTTTTTGAATGGAATAGGTCAAAGTTTTCAAGCCCTACAAGGGTCATTCTTTAATTTTGGTAAAATTTTCCAGACACAAATGTGATATTCAAAATATGAATGATACTAGATAATTTTTAGGCTTTGGCTCATTAAATGTCAAGTCAGTTAATTTAAGTAAGTAGCATCTTTCTTTTCTTTTCTTTTTTTAAACTTGTCTTCTTCACCTTAAAAAGGAAGGTGCTATTGGAGCCTTTTTTGCAGTAGCATAGTCAAAGGCCCAAGAGGCCCAACCCACATATTAAAAACTCCAGTTTTTCACAGTACAGGTAAGAGTGATTCTCCCACAGTTCAGATTCCAGAATCTGGTGTAGACACTAAGTTGCACCCCTGAAAGGGATGGCCTTTGGACCTTCATCATATAAAGGGTCCTTTGACCAAGTCCATGGGCTGAGGCTGCCTTGCCCCACTTCCTCCCACTGAACTGGGTATGTGCCCGATGCACCAGGAAGCCCAAGGTCTCTTCTGTGTGGCTCTCAATTCTGTCCTCAGGTTAGGGGATACTTTTTTTTTTTTTTTCATGTTAACAGCCTAGCTCTGGTCTGAGTGGCTGCTTGGGCACCAGGCCGAAGACATCACAGGGACCTAGAGACCCTGGGGCAGTAGCCCCTGAGACAGCGTAGTGGTGAACAATGGCAAGGCACAGCCTGCATAAAAGCTGTGCAGGGAGGCAGGCAGGGGCTGTGGTGGCTGCCTGCAGTCCAAGCAAGTAGAGAGGTCGCAGTGCTTGAAGCTGCCACTCTCCAACATGTCCTTGGTGTTAGGGTTGAGCACCCAGTAGCTGTCCTTGTCTGTGAAGTTGTGGCAAATGCTCTTCTGCCATTTTGGGTGTTGTCGCGGTAGAAGGGTACTTGCTAGGTGATGACCTGGTCAGTGTGGCCCAGCCTGAGGCTGAAGCCTGGTGCCTGTGTGATAGCCATGGCGATGAGAGCAATGTAGCTGTCATGTGGCTTTCAGCCTCCTAGAGCTGTAAGTACAGTGAAACCTCTACATAATGGACTAATTTGGGTGAGGGGTTGTCTCTTAAAGCCAAAATTTCATTCTATAATAAAGTAGGTTTTCTGAATGCATGTTAAAAAATTGACATATTAATTTGTTTTTACTTATGTAGATACATCTGTGCAATTAAAACTAAGTATGTATGGAAAGTTAATTTCACAAAAAGTTTTCTATGTGTAATTAACCCAATTATTACTTTTTTAAAATATATTTTTTATAGATTTTTTACAGAGAGGAGGAGAGAGGGATAGAGAGCTAGAAACGTCGATGAGAGAGAAACATCAACCAGCTGCCTCTTGCACACCCCCTACCGGGGATGGGCCCGCAACCAATGTACATGCCCTTGACCGGAATCGAACCCGGGACCTTTCAGTCTGCAGACCGACGCTCTACCACTGAGCCAAACTGGTTTTGGCATAATTAACCCAATTATTAATTAACTTGAGGCCCAGAGCACAAAATTTGTGCAGAGGAGGACATCCCCACAGCCCAGCACCCTCTCCAATCTGGGACCACTCAGGAGATGAATGTTCCACTGCTGGTTTAGGCCCCATCCCGGGGATCGGGCCTAAAATGGAAGTTGAAGTTGGACATCCCTCTCACAATCGGGACTGCTGGCTCCTAATAGCTCACTTGCCTGCTGGCCTGGTTTCCCCCGAATGCCCACCCTCACCAGCCTTGTCACCCCTTACTGCCCTCCCCCCCCCCCCCTGCAATGACCTAGTCACTCCCAACTGGCCCCCATGCTGGCCTGGTCGCCCCATGCAGACTGCTGTTCTGCCATCTGGTCATTTAGGGCAAAGTAGCCCCTGGCTTTTTAAATATTAGGATTGACAGAAAAGGAGCAAAGGGAAGGCCAGATAATATAGGCATGCCATTTGTACAGCTTTGCTAGAAAATTGCAGTTTAACACTCTCCAGGTCTGTTCCCAGAGATCCTGGGAGAAGGAACTAGAAAAGGAAAGAATATATGCATGACCAGTAAGATCTAAATGACTTAGATCTTGTTTATTAGTCACTAGAAGCCCATTGCAAAAAGATTTGTGCAATAGGCCTTCCGTCTCCTGGCTGCCAGCACCAGTTTTCCTCTGGCATCTGGGAGCCAGGCCTTCACTCTGGCCACAGCAGAGAAGCCAAGCATCAAGCATCAAGGCTAGGCTTCTCCGCTGCAGCCTGAGCGAAGAAGCCAATACTCTTCAGTCTTTAGTTTTCAGTTGTCTTTAGTCTTCAGTCTTTAGCCTTTAGTCTTTGCTTGGGCCAGAGCCTTCAGTCTTTGTTCTAAGGCTGCATATGCAAATCAACCAGCCATCTTTGCTGGGTTAATTTGCATACTCACTCCTGATTTGCTGGTGGGTACTGTGGAGGTACAGTCAATTTGCATAT